ATGATTTGTGCATAGATGTGCAAAGATAAAAGCTTAACGCTTTGTTCTTTTGTAGAGTAATATTACAAGAGGTACAGAACGAGAAAAAAAATCTCAGCAGTTTTGGGAGTAAATGGTAAATGACCTGTATTCGTATAGCGCTTTACTTAGTCCCTAAGGACCCCAAAGCGCATGAGTAAACCTTTAACTGATGCTTTTTGCATGCAAGGAGAAAAAGTGTAGCAGAAAACATGCATGAAGTGCCAAGAGAAAATCTGAAATAGAAGGAAAATACTGAGCACACGAGAGCCTGAGGGGAAGTTCAGGAAATGGTTGCTCCGTACTTAAAAGCCTCTCTTGTATGATTGGCCACAAAGAGCGCCAGTTCCAGCTTACAATAAGGCCGCAGCACTGCCCTCAAGGAAATGATGACGTTAACTATCGAAAGCACCTTTTGTTTTTACACAAACTCTGAATCCCAGTGAAGATAAAAGCATGTTTGCTTAAACTAACCTGCCTCCATCTCCACAGGAGAACATCCTGCAGAAAGTGGTGATGACTGCTTTTGCTGATCGAACAGTAGTTATCATAGCAGTGAGTATATCCCCCTTGCCATTTACAGTAATGCATACAGCTTCGGCATTATCACAAGGACTGCTGACGCTTTAACCTTGAAAAACTACAAATACGGTGCTAGTTATTGAAAGAGGAAATCAAGACATGTTTCTGGTCTTATTCTTTGTTATTGCAATTACATTATAGAGTAATAAAAGAGGTAATAAAAAGAAGTATGATAAAAGGTGTGGTGCTCACTTTTGATATTTCTCATGAAATATTTAAGAAAAAAAAGGCAAACAGCCAGAAACCTGATGAACTCTGGTATTTACAGTGGATGCAACCACACACTTAATTTACCAGCCAATATAAAGATGTGCATGCAGCTTTTTCTATCGCAGCTTTGTTTCTAAACCGTCCGAGTGATCTAGCATCGGCTGGACTGCTCACTGCAGTAATTACTTTCTTCTGCTGTGTCGCGCAGCATCGCGTCCACACCATTCTCAATGCCGACCTGGTGATCGTGATGAAGCGGGGGATCATCCTTGAGTACGACAGACCGCAGGCTCTGCTGGACAAGGAGGACAGTGTCTTCGCCTCCTTTGTGCAAGCGGACAAGTAGCACAAGAGGAGGAAGAGCGTGGAAGCATTAAAGGAAGACATTCAAAGTGCAATTGATCCCATGGAATATATTCCTTTTATTTTTTAATCATGTTGTATTATATTTGTACATAAGAATGTTAATGCTTTGTTAATAAAAACATAACTTATCCTTAAAGTGTGTGTCCAGAGTTATTTGTGCAGTGAGACTAAAGGTGTGTTTTGGGCATGTGTTAAACTTGCTGTTTGAAACTGATTAGTCATCACGGGATTGTACGTTTAAAATGACCTGGAGCTAAGCAGACAAATAAATGCACAATAGAAATTTATAAAGCTGGGATGGGCTCGGAGATGAAAAACAAAACAGACAAGCTCTGGTTTCTGTGGTTGACCAGCCCACTGCCTGCTAGTGCCTAATGTTGTTTAAGTTACAAAAACTCTGACCATTATATGATGGGATAATAAGCTGCCTGTGGCATAGCGGCTGAACAGTTCTTAATGCGTAATGGTCTCTCCTGCATTCTCATTGAAAATGAAATGAAGGGCACCACTCTGGTGGTAATGGTGGTGGTGGAGGGAGGGAGGGACTGCCTCTCCTTCTCACGTTACCAAGCTATAGCGAAGTAGCGACATCAGCAAAGAGCCAACTGCGCCTCATGAGCCTGCCTCCTCTTCCAAATGTGATAAAACTCAGCTCAGAGGCCCATTACGCGGCGATAGAAGGAACATTTTACATCTCACTCGATTTCCTTTACGCACAGGGC